ATGTCACGAAAAATTTATGAGTTTGACTTAAATTAATAATAAACTTTATTGGGTTCTTCTAAAAATTTTGTGGGAATCTCTTAATGGTCACTCGTAAAGTAAGCACAATCTAAGATGCTAGAGACTTTGGTAATATGTGGGTGATGTGTATTATAACAAAGTTTAATAACTTTATCAATAATCTCAGACAAATGTTTAGTTGGTTCTCTCTCTCTCTCTCTCTCTCTCTCTCTCTCTCTCTCTCTCTCTATCTCATCATTTATATGAGATAGGAGTAATTCCTCTCCTCCCTTCACTAGACTCTCAATATTCAAATAAACAATTTTAAGACAATGTTGAGCTCATGAAAAATCAAGGCAGAGTTATAAGCACATATATTGGCTTGCTGGTAGTTCCAAACTGACAAAACGAGCCAGGAATATTAGATCTATTGGGCCCCACGTGAACATGTGAATTATTCATGAATATTTTAAAATTTGATTTGGTTCCACAGTCACAGGTTATAGAAATAACACTGGCCAACTATTCACCAATAAGAACCTTTACCTGTACAGAGATGTCTGTGGGGGAGTACTCCCAGCCCCTCCCTAGTAGCTTTCCCTCCACAAGTAGGTGTGTGATAATTAATATTATTCTCATGTTTCAGAAATATTTATTTTCAAATAAAAGAGTATATAGGTTATTAAGAAAATTTCAAAACATTTTTTAAATACACCAAACTTCTTTTTTTAAAAGTCCAGATAAATGTTCATTTGGTGGATATTAATAATTTATGTTATTGTCTTATTTCTATTCTCTCGGAGAGCCTGGCAAGCTATCAAGAGTATCCCGCCCGCACAGCAAAGCTTGGCAAGGCAGAGCTACCTGTGGTGTACTTGATATGTCAAAAACAGTAACAAGTCTCACAATGGAGATGTTACTGGTACCCTCTTGAGCAAATCGATGAACAACTGGAGGACAGTGCTATAGTGCCACAGTGTCTCATTTTTCTTAAAAGTCACATCACCAAACTTCTAAAGACCCAAAGCACTTGAATATTAAATCATTTGCATTCATTCATTCATTCATTTTAACATCATTTTTCCCCCCAGTCTGTTTACTTTAGTTCTAGGTCATGAGCCTTTCTGACAGCGATCATAGAGTTAATACAGTTAATAGAAAGTATGAAACATCTCCTACCCTTACTACCAGTAAGGAATAATTTCCATGATAATTGGTAAACTAGAGCCTATCCTGACTGCTTTTCATAGCACAAGACAGGAACTAATCCTAGGCAAACTACCGTCTATCACGGGAGGCGGGTCACCCCACCACCTGCCTACACACCCACTCAGTCCAGAACAATCTGGACATGGACATGTACATCTGTGGGATATGGGAGGAAACAAGAGTCCCTGGAGAAAACCCACACAGTTGTGGGAGGATGTTCAGAATCCACAGAGACAATGGCTTTGGCCAGGGGTTGATTTATTTCTGTCATCAATGTTAAAACCAAACAAATTGGATCAAATGGAACGATGCTATTCCAAGACCAGCTGCCTATGATTTACAAATATTTTCTGGTTAGTAGGTTACCTTTTCGTTTTGTTGATGGTTTCCTTTGATGTGCGGATGTTTTGTAGTCTGATATAGTCACGCTTGTTTGGTTTTGCTTTAGTTGCCTTTGTTTTCAAAATAAAAAAGATCATTGTCAATAACAATGTCAGGGAGTTATCTCCCATGTTACTTTTTAGGATTTTTATGGCCTCAGGTCTAATAGTCAAGTGTTTAATTTACCTGGAGTTGATTTTTATGTATAGAGTAAGATAGGACTCAGTCCCGTTTTATGTTTCTTTGAGTGTAGCTATGTAGTTTTCAACACGATTTCCAAAGACATTCTTCTTTTCCTACTACATAGTTATGACTACTTGGTTGTAAATTATTGACGCACATATGTATGGGGGTTAATTTTTGGGTCATTTTCCTGTTCCATTGATCGATGTTCCTTAGAGTATCTTTTATTTAAGCTTCAATAAACATTTATTGTGAAGCTAATAGGTATTATCTGAGTATTTTTAGGTACTGAAGAATTAGCTGATATTTCTTGTTCTTAAAAATGGCATAATTTTGTAGAAACAAAGGCACCATAAATAAGTTTAGATAATATTTGATCTTTATACAACTCTCAAAGTACATCACAAATAATTGGAGGTTCATAGATATGGATATGCCCTCTAACAACTCTTCCTTTTATAATGTGTAGTTTTAGGCAAATTAATTAATTAAGCCCACAGATTCTTGAGTTGTTAAAAGGGACAGTAGCATAGGATTCACTTCACTTAATATATGAATTAAATGATGCATAGTACTCATAAATTACATAGTACAGTGCTTGCTATTAAATATAGTTCTATAAATGTTTTATTTTTACAATCATTTTCGTTTACTTTTTTTTTCTTTTGGGTCACACCCGGCGATGCACAGGGGTTACTCCTGGCTCTGCACTCAGGAATTACTCCTGGCGGTGCTTGGGGGACCATATGAGATGCTGGGAATTGAACCTGGGTCAGCCGAGTGCAAGGCAAATGCCCTACCCGCTGTGCTATTGCTCCAGCCCCAGTTTCATTTGCTTTTAGATATATATTTTTTAAAGGGTGAAAGCCATAAAGGTAAAATTATTATAAGTATGACTGACAGAGTTTTGAGACAAAGAGCTAAAGAATAATGAAGAGAGACAAATTGGCGATTCGTGTTGGGCACAGCAAATGAAATTTTAGCAGTTGGTGAAGGATATTTTAAGCAGAGTTGGAAGAGATGCACAGATTTGGAAATGGATGCAAATCCTGTTTATAGGCGTGTGGGTTAGTTTGATTCAAGTGCATTGCTAGAGTTCTGGGTAGAAGATGATAGAGGGTGGAATCTGGCAAGTAGTGGCTGATCTTGGGGGTTCTAGTGGGCCAAACTAAAGAGTTGGGCTTTATCTTTCAAGGGTGTCCATGGAAACCAGGTAGCAGAGGATGGGGGAAAGTAGTGGCGTGACTGGGATGGAGCCAGCAATTAGTAGAATAAGTAAGAGGCAACAGGAGAGGAAATAAAGTTAATGAATTAAGTTGTAAAAGAATACATGTCTTCATTGCAGCACTGTTTACAATAGCTAGAATCTGGAAAAAACCTGAGTGCCTGAGAACAGATGACTGGTTAAAGAAGCTTTCTAAACAATGGAATACTATGTAGCTGTCAGAAAGGATGAAGTCATGATATTTACATCCAAGTGGTACTACATGGAAAGTATCATGCTAAGCGAAATGAGTCAGAAAGAGAGGGATAGACATAAAAAGATCGCATTCATCTGGGGGACATAAAGTAACAAAATAGGAGATAAATACCCAAGAATAGCCGAGATCAGTATCAGGAGGATTACTCCATGGCTTGGAGGCCAGCTTCACACTCTAGCGGTAAAGGCAGCCCAGATGTAGAAGGGAGCACCAAATGGGGGGTATTGGAAGGATCCCTCCAGGATGGGAGAAGCATGCTGAGACTAGACTCTAGACCGAACACGTTGCCACTTGATGCCTCTTTTGCAGGCCACAGCACCCAAAAGGAGAGAGAGAACAAAAGGGAGTGCCATGCCACAGAAGCAGGGTGGGATGGGGGGATATCGGGGGTGGGAGGGATACTGGGATCAGTGGTGGTGGAAAATGGGCACTGGTGGAGGGATGGGTACTTGATCATTGTACAACGGAAACCCAAGCACAAAAATTTGTAAGTCTACAACTGTACCTCATGGTGTTTCACTAATAAAAAAAATTAAAAAAAAAAGAATACATGTCTTCTTAGACAAACAGCAAAGGAGAACCATGGGGAAGGCATAGATGAGGTGAATGTTAGAGACAAGAGGGGTTGGAAGGCTTCATGCATCTGGATTCCTATTAGCTGGGAAGAGAATGATCTGAGAATGAGTCTGTCTGGAGTGGTATTTTAGGGTAGAGATAGAAGAAAAGTTTGATGCGGAGTGTGGGTGTGTGTTAAGAGAATAGGATGGAAGGGGGCAAGTGTCTAGATCCAGAGAGCACGTGAAATGAGATGAGGTGAGGACAGATGACAGAACTCTGTTACAGCTGGAGTGGGAGGGCACTTTGGAGTTCAGGATTTTATGGGATCCTTTTATTATGAAGATTCAAACTTACTGCACTCAGTAGACTGCTATTCTATGATTTTAATGGATGAAATTATGTCATTTGGGACAAAACAGGCGAAACTTTTGGTGATTATGCTAAATGAAGGAAGTCAGGAAGTAAAAGGCCATTACTGGATGGTTTCACTCCTGTAGAACATGAATGACTAAAGCAAATGAGCTTAACACCATCCCCTCCTGCCCCCCATCCCCCCAAGTCCCAACACACACACACACACACACACACACAACTGACTCATAGACTCAGTGAAAACAGTAAACAGTGGTGGTTTTCACCCTGGCAAAGGGGCTTTGGAGCAGGAAGAATGAGGGAGAGGAGAGGAGTATGTTTGGTTCTGGGACTGTGGTAGAAGTGTTGGCAATCACACAGAGAGAGCCTTGAAGTCATCCTCGGGAATGCCATAGCCTGGCGAACTGATAATATACACTGACGAAAATGGAAACACGAAAAAGATTTCATTAAGAAACGGGCTAGCATAGCATATACATTTCAGGTCGGATAATTCATTGTGGTGTGACAGAAAGAATTGTTTTAAAAATAGTTGCCTCACGTTCTCCCAAGAGCTGGCTAGTTTCTTTTGTAGGCACAGATCCTGAGCATCATGCCCAAGTCTTCAAGAGAAAATGTCTTTTCTTGAGAGCAAGGTGAAGGCCAGGTAATGTCTCAGTGTTTACAGGAGTGGAACAAAACTCAAGGTTATTATCACAGATGCAATGGATCTCGGTCAAGTTCTTGGAAATCTGTTGTTTTTCCTTAGAAATGAGAACTCCCTAGACCCACTCCACTAGTATGAGCTAAGATATTTGCATTTCTTTTCTCTTAAAGGTAAAACCAGTAACACACAGCAAGATCAACGTGTCTGCTCGCTTTAGAAGAACGCCTCAAGAACCCTGCACGATCTTGTAAGTTATAGCTCTTTGCCTTTCAGGCTGGCATTGGTGTGCTGGTCTTTTTTTATCTTGGGATTTATTTTATTTTTTTTTTAATAAGAATTGGGGCTGGAGTGATAGCACAGTGGGTTGGGCATTTGCCTTGCACGCAGCCCGACCCAGGTTCGATTCCCAGCATCCCATATGGTACCCTGAGCACGGCCAGGAGTAATTCCTGAGTGCATGAAACAGGAGTAATCCCTGTGCATCGCTGGGTGTGACCCAAAAAGCAATAAATAAATAAAATAAGCATTAAGTGGGGCCGGAAAGATAGTAGAGTGGGTAGAGCATTTGCCTTGCATGCGGCCAACATGAGTTCAATCCCCAGCATCCCATATGGTCCCCTGAGCACAGCCAGAAGTAATTCCAGAGTGCAGAGCCAGGAGTAACCCCTGAGCATCACTGGGTGTGACCCAAAAAGCATTAAATGAACTTCTTTTTTAATTAATTTATTTTTATTAAAAACTCCATGATTTACAAAGCTGTTCATTATACAGTCATTTCAGGCGTTTAGGATTCCAACAGTATGAGCTTGGCTTGGGATTTCTTGTGGAGCTTAACGGCGTAACTCTCCCAAATGATCGGGCTCACTGGCTTTGCTTTCCTTTCTCCAGCTTAATTGCAAATGGAGATCTCATAAGCCCAGCCTCTCGCCTCCTCATTCCTAGAAAAGCCATGAATCAGTGGGATCATGTCCTGCAAATGGTCACGGAAAAAATAACATTGAGGAGCGGAGCTGTGCACAGGTATGTCGTGGAAATCTTGCAGTGGGCGGGGTCTCTGAGGCATCTTGGGAGTTCCTGGCCCCCAGATTTGATTTTTGACTCACTGGAGAGGCTCTAGTTTTCTTTACCTGTGAGGTGGGTAAGGAATAAAACTTTCTTGATTTTTTTTATTTTTTATTTTTAAAAGAACAAGATAATCCTCATACAAAGCTTAGACCATTCCTTGGCATGTAGCATCACTGGGACAAATATAAGTATCTTTACAAAAGGTTGGGTCAACAGTGCTTTAGTTCGGGAGGGCATGTTTGAAGGAAAATAGTTCGCTTCTTGTCTCTTTGTTAGCTGTTTCCACTCAGAAGATATTTATGGTTATTCAATGATGGAAATGACCCGTGTAGGATACACAATAGACATCAGGAGGTGGATAGAGAGTTTAAGGAGCAGGCGAGACAGAAAGGATGAGTAACAGGAAGTGTCAGAACTTGAAGAGACAGGAGATTTTTGTCACTTACTGAAATGTAAGTGAAGATTAAAGTCATGGTTTTTATTTAAGAAATTAAATCAACATGAGATACAGTTACAAAGTTGTTCATGATTGGGCTTTGATAAGTATTCCAACACCCATCCCTTCACCAGTGTACATTTCCCACCACCAAAGTCCCCAGTTTCTCTTCTTCCACCTCCCACCCCTAATCTGCCTCTACGGCAGGCACTTTTCCTCTCTCTCTCTCTCTCTCTCTCTCTCTCTCTCTCTCTCTCTCCTCTCTCTCTCTTTCTCTCTTGTTCCCTTTTTCTTTTTTCTTTTAGTCATTATGGTTTGCAGTACAGATACTAAAAGTTTATCATGTATGTCCCTATACCTACATGGAGCATTCAATTCTTGTCCAGAGTGATCATTTCCGACTATCATTGTCACAGTTGTCCCCTCTCTATACGAACTGCCCTTCCACCCTGACTTGTGGCGAACTTCCAATTGTGGGCCAGTCCTCATGGCCCTTGTTTCTACTGTCCTTGGGTAATAGTCTCATACTGTCAGTGTCACTGTCCTCCCATTGTTCATCAATTTGCTCGAGCGGGCCCAGTAACGTCTCCATTGTGACACTTGTTACTGTGTTTGGCATATCATGGGTAGCTTGCCAGGCTTTGCTGTGCGGGTGAGATACTCTCGGTAGCTTGCTGGGCTCTCTGAGAGGGGTGGAGGATTCGAACTCGGGTCAGCCATGTTGGCTGCATGCAAGGCAAATGCCCTACCCACTGTGCTATTGCTCCAACCCAAGTCTCATACTACTTTTATTTATTTATTTTTTATATCCCACAAATGAGTGCAGTCATTCTATGTCCCTTTTCTTCTGACTCAATTCACTCAGTCTGATATTCTCCATGTCAGAAGTCATGGTTTTTAAATAGTGATGACTGTGAAGTTATCCTTGACTGGAGGCAGACTTCATTTCCTCTTTTGAGGGAGGGTTTTATATAATATTCACATGTCTAGGTCATGATAGGAATAGATCTAACATAGGACCCAACAATATTTGAAATATAGAGTTTTTTTTTATCTCACTCCAAAACCTTCCACTGGTAGAGTATAATTCTATTTTCCTGCTTTTATGCCTTTTTGCTTATCTCTAGCTCTTCATGATCTATATGATGAGATAGGTTATCAAATAGTTGTTTATGTGCCTTCTGGGTAAATGTAGACACAGATAAGCTTATGCATATTCACATATGTCACTATTTGCCCATTTATAACCATTGCAATTTTTAACTCTTGTTTGAATTGAATGCTTCAATATAGGAAAGAATTCAAACTGACAATATATATAAATAAAAACTTCTCCTCTTATCTTAGGCCCAAAATCCTCTCTCCCTACTTTCCTGTACCATTCTAGAAATAGTTTATGAATATGAAGGCACATGTATCTTTTATTTCTGTCACTGTCCTCCCATTGTTCATTAATTTGCTTGAGCGGGCCCAGTAATGTCTCCGTTTTGAGACTTGTTGTTACTGTGTTTGGCATATTGAATACGTCACAGGGAGCTTGCCAGGCTCTGCTATGTGGGCGAGATACTCTCGGTAGCTTGTTGGGCTCTAGAGAGGGGCAGAGGAATCAAACTCGGGTTGGCCATGTTGGCTGTGTGTAAGGCAAATGCCCTACCCACTGTGCTATCGCTCCAGCCCATCTTTTATTTCTAAAAAACACAAATAGAAATACACATGCAAACAAATATTTGATCATACCTTTTTTTTCATAATAACAAATCTTGATTATTCTTGTCAGCAAAAAATAGCTGTATCTTATTCACTTTCCCCACTATGAAATATTTTGTGTGCTGGGCCCTGTCCTGTCTTATGTTCTATTTTTTTTTTTTTTTTTTGCTTTTTGGGTCACACCCAGTGATGCACAGGGGTTACTCCAGGTTCATGCACTCAGGAATTACTCCTGGCCATGCTCAGGGTACCATGTGGGTTGCTGAGAATCGAACCTGGGTCGGGCCGTGTGCAAGGAAAACGCTTTACCCACTGTGCTATCGCTTCAGCCCCTTATCCTGTCTTACGTTAATGGTCTTCCTTGATGGAAATTTAGGTCATTTCCAAGATTTTGGTGTTATTCATAGATGTACATGCTTTTGCATAAGACAAAGTATATCAGAAGATTGATGGTGAGGAAGTTAATTTCTGTGTCAAGTAGTAAGTGTCTTTTATGTCTAGATAGATATTTCCAACTGTTTCCAAAGAATTTGTGCTAATTTATATTGTCACCCAAAGTACATAGAAGGTTTGCTTTTCACACTCCCATCTGTGCTGTGAAACTAATAAACATTTTGTCTTTGTACTCACATTGGGGTGAAAATAGTATTTAATTGCTTCTTAATTTGATTTATTTTATATACAACAACATCTTGATCATTTCTTATGTTCAAGGATTTTTTCCAAGTGTTATTTTTTTACATTTTGAACTTAGTTAACTCAGCAACTTTATGAGAAAAGTCATGTTATTTTTTTCCTCTTATTTATTTTAAAATTATTTTATTTCATAAATTTTATTTAAAGAACCATCATTTACAAAGTTATTGATAGTTGAATTTTAGGCGTACAATATTTGACACCAACCCCTTCACCAGTGTCAACTTCCTTTCACCATTGTTCCCATGATCCTCCTGCCTGCCCTCAATGGACACCTCGACAGGGACATTTCAATTGTAACATGGTAACATGTAACATGGCTCAATCCATCACCAGAATGTTTATATCCCTCCACTAATGTTTCAAGCTCCCTACAACCCCTCCAACTTATGCCCTTGTCAGACTGAGATCTGTAAGTCAGTTTTTGGGATCTATCATTGGCCAGTTGCTCTTTCTTTATATTCCATGTCTGAGAGATCATTCTGTATCTGTGCTTCTTCGTCTGACTGACTTCACTCACCAAGAGACCCTCCACGTTACAGTGAACTCTGTGATTTCATCTTTTCTAAGAGTTGAGTAGTTTGGTTTCTTTTTTGTGTGTTTGGGTCACACCCAGCAATGCACAAGGGTTACTCCTGGCTCTGCATTCAGGAATTACTCCTGCCATTGCTGGGGGGCCATATGGAATGCTGGGAATCGAACCCAGGTTGGCCATGTACAAGGCAAACACCCTACCTGCTGTGCTATCACTCCAGCCTGGGTAGTTTGGTTTCTTTGTCTAGTCATCTGTTCTTGGACACTTGTTGTTTTCAAGATCTTGGCTATTGTGATTAGTGCTGCAGTTAACATAGGAATATAAATGTCTTTTCTAAATAGTGTTCTTGGTCCCTTGGGATGGATGTCAAGAATTGGATTGCTGGGTCAAATGGGAACTTAATTATTTCATTTTTGAGGAGTGTTCATATAGTTTTCCATAGAGGCAGAACCATATGACAGTCTCACTCACAGTGGATGAAGGTTCCTTCCCCTCCCCCCCCCCCCCACATCCCCATCAGTACTGGAGAAAGGTAAGTTTTTTTTTTTAAATTTTTGGGTTACACCCAGCAATACACAGATCTTACTCCTGGCTCTGCACTCAGGAATTACCCTGGCGGTGCTCAGGGGACCATATGGGATGCTGGGAACTGAACTGGGTTGGCCATGTGCAAGGCAAATGCCCTACCAGCTGTGCTATCGCTCCAGCCCTGAGAAATGTAGTTCTTAATGTATTGTCAAATATGAGTGAGATTTAGTTGCTGCTCACTTGGGTCATTCCCACTTTTAAACAGAACATGACTAAATCTTTGGACTTCCTCCCTCCCTCCCTCCCTCTCTTCCTCCCTCCCTCCCTCTCTTCCTCCCTCCCTCCCTCTCTCCCTCCCTCTTTCCCTCCCTCCCTCCTTGCCTACCTCCCTCCTTCTCTCTCTCTTCTCCCTTTCTCCTTTTAAGCATTGTGGTTTGCAATACAGACACTGAAGGGTTGTTGTGTATATCTCTTTACCTACTTTAAACACTCAGTTCTTGTCCAGCGTGATCATTTCCAACTATTAGTATCCTACTGGTCCATTCTCTATCTTACCTACTCTCCACTCCACACACGCTTGTGGTTAGATTCCAACCAGTGCCCAGTCCTCCTCTAAGCTGCCTTTTAATTCCTTGCCATCCTACTGCCCCATTGATACAGACATTCTTATTTTGAAGAAAAGTGAAGGAAGAATATCTGTATCCAGCGGGCCTGTGGGCCATCTCACAGTGTCCAGAATCACACCTGATTGGGGGCAGTGGCAACTTCTACCATATAATGGACAGAGGTTCACATCCAGCATTGCACAGGAGGCTTCTTCCCTTTCCATGAAAGATTGTCAAGTAGAGCAAGCTGTTCTTTGGAAACCCTGGTTTAGGTCAGGAAAACCAGAAATAACACATCAAGTCTTGGAAATTGTATTTCTAGGTGTGGAATAATGAAACTTTAGCATCTTTGTACCAACTCAGTCACATTTCAGGGCATTTTATTTTTATTTTCTATTCCATTGTACTTGGCTCCATATAATACAGATATTTTTCCTTATCAAAAAAATACATAGACAGATCAGGAAATCAGGAAGGCTTTTTCCCACTCTTTGTAAATGTCACTAACCTTAATCACAGTGGGCGGGACGTTTGCCTTATATACAGTCGACCTGGGTTTGATTCCCAGCATCCCATATGGTCCCCCAAGCACCGGCAGGAGTAATTTCTGAGTACATGAGCCGGGAGTAACCCCTGTGCATTGCCGGGTGTCACCCAAAAAGAAAAAAAAAAGATGTAATATAAAGCCGCTGAGAACTTTTTCTTGAAAAAGTTAACCTTTGTTTTCTTGAATTCATCCATTCTGTTTCTTCAGATAGATGTGGTTGAAATCATATGATGTTTGTCTTTCTCCATCTGACATTTCAAATATAAAAGGCAGAGTTTCAGGTATTTGGATAGTTGAGTTGGAGCCCATTGTGCATATACTCCATTCCTCTCAGCCAGTCATCTGTTGGTAGATGCTTACTCTCATGGATAATGATGTGATGGGCCAGGATGCATCTATCTCTTTGCATTGGGGCGTTGGGTTCTTCAGGTAAATTCAAAGACATGCAATGACCACGTGGAATTTCTATTTTGATTTTTTGAGGAATATCTATACTGTTTTTCATAACCGTGGTACCGAGGTGTGTTTCTGCCAGCAATGCACAAATGCTGGAGACCCCCGTGCCTGCTCTCCAGATCCTTTCTGAGAACTTAGAGAATTAAAAAAAAGACTATCTTAAAATCCTTCTAGTTGACAGCTTCAAAAATAATTACAAGCTTCAAATATACACTTTTTTAATGTGTTTTTTCTACTAGTCTGTTTTTCCCAGGTCTGATAAAAAAAATTAAAAAAAAAGTTTGTGGTTCCTTTAAAATATAGTGAAACGGTCACTGTTCATTTAATAAGTCAGCCATTCACTGTAGTCTGTGGGTCACTTTACTGTAAAGGGAAGTTCTCGTGAAACCCCTTGGTTCTGGGAAGATGAGGGAAGGCAAGAAAAAAAGAAAGAGAGAGAAGCATGAATGCTATGCAGTTCTGCATCATTAAATGCCAGCAATGGCCCTTTCCCTCCTGCCGTTCCCATTCTTGTCTTCTCAACCAGGTCTGTGGTTTGCATAGCACATTTTGGCTGAGGGCTGCTCTTACACAGAATACAGTCACGGGACTTGTCAACCTGGTCCATACATTAAGGAAAAAAAACCCACTTGAAAAGAACCCACAAAAATATAGCGAGAAGACTCGAATGTCCAAACAAGTGGAACTTTGAAACATCAATATCTGTGCAAGTTAATTCTTTCCCTCTTAAGCTCTTGAGGGCTGGTCTAGAGAGATAGCTTGGGAGGCTGAGCGCATGCTTTGTGTGTTTTGTGTGCTGGAGGCCCACATTCCATTCTTGGCACAGGTTTGTTCCCTAAACACCTCCATAAAGGACCCCCTCGACCTTGAGCACAGAGTCTGGGGTAGCCCCTGAGTACGCCTGGATGTGACCCAAACAGCAACTAAATAAATACATAAAGTATTAATACAGTAGCGATTTCTAGATTGTTTTGTTTATCCTGTTTTGTCTTTGTGTTAGATTATCAGGCTTATTATGGCATGAAACACACAGCTGGATATATAGTCACGTGATAACAGATGTATAATTAATTTCATACTTAGAATAGTGACACAGGAGCTAGGTGAAGAGTGGAATGTCTTTATTCAATTTGTAGTTTTAAGTTTTTTTTAAAAATGACTTGTAAAAATTCCAGTTGACATTCATATTTTTGCAGACTCTATACTTTAGAAGGAAAGTTGGTCGAGAGCGGGTCAGAGTTGGAGAATGGACAATTTTATGTGGCTGTTGGCAGAGATAAATTTAAGAAATTACCTTATACTGAATTGCTTTTTGACAAGTCAGCAGTGAGAAGGCCTTATGGGTAAGTCTTCATCCTCACTCACTTCTCATATTTCATATATCTTTTGTCTGGCATTAATTTTTTTCCTGACAACTGGTGTATCTTATATAATGTTGCTAAACAGTTAGAATAGAAAACATGTGTTATACAATTCACATAGCTCTGATTGGAGATTGAGAATGGTTGCATAGAAAAATAATTTGGGAAAGTCTGTGTAAGAATATGTAGTATTTAAACCTTGTAATAATTTTAATAGGTTTATATACTTATAATAATATAAATATTTAGTCTTATGATGAATACAAGGACAGTGAGCTTCTACACAAACGTTATTAGAAGCTTTAGTAATGTCATAAATATTTATTTTAGATCACATAATTTTTCAGTTGGCATCTAAAAGAACATCTAAAGGTATCGAAAATTTATTTTATATCTCTTTGTACCAATTTTAATATAATTTCACTTGCGATCAGATTAGTTAGTACATGCAAACGTTTAAATATCACACCTTAATTATGTCCTAGGCTCTTAAACTTTTTGTCTCTACAAAATGTCATGTATTTGTATTCAAAATGTCATGTATTTGTATTTGATGAGGCGCTACTTGATCACTTGTCTCTTGAAACCGTGATTGTCCACTGTTCAGGGCATCTCCTATTTGCAGAGACAGAGCTGAATATGACTAATTTGTTTGCCTTCAACTTGCAATTGGGGTAGCTTGATTGAGAGGCCAGGGAGCACGTATAAATGCGGACTAGGTGAAATGGAACATCAGGGCAGAGTTGGAAATATGCTGAAAGCTCACGGATTTCCAGCACTTTAGAATTCTTTAGCAGCATCGCTACTGCCAACCGGACTTAGCCAACTGTGACGCCAAATCCTTCATGCTCTCTGCCGCGTCGTGTTGCAGGAGTCTGCCTGCGTCACCAAGTTTACTGGACAGGACAGAGCTAGGATTTAGAACAGCCTCTCTCCGACAAATGAATAAGATTCACCTTTATCTGTGCACCCTCTATGTTTGGAGAGCTTCACCTGCATTTTAAGATGGTCTTTTCCTTAGTTGAAACAACTTATTCTTATAAACCAAGATGCTTTGCGCTTATGTGTCTGAGGATGACTGGTTCAGAAGCTTCCTGAATCTCAATGCGATTCTGACCTGCTGATGGTAGCAGACAGTATATAACAAAGGAAAGTTCATGTTTTTTTTGGTTGGGGGGGGCACACTTTGCAGTGCTCGGGGCTGACTCCTGGTTCTGTGCTCAGGGACCATTTCTGTCAAGGCTTGGGGAAACATATATGAGGTTCTGAATTGAACCCGAGTTGGCAATGTGCAAGACAAATGCTCTGCCCCCTATGTTGCTCTAGCCCCAATATCTTGAATTTTATTCATTTATTTACTTTTGGTCTTGGGGCCATACTCATGGATACTCTGGGGTTGGTCCTGCTGTTGTACTCAGGAATTACTCTATGCAGTTCTCAGGAGATCATAAGGGATGACGGGAATTGAACCCAGGTGAGCTACATGCAAGATAAATGCCTTACCCACTGTACTAGCACTCCTGCCCAATTCTTCTTTCCCCCCCTTTTTTGGGTCACACCTGGCAATGCACAGGGGTTACTCCTGGCTCTGCACTCGGGAATTACTCCTGATGGTGCTCAGGGGACCATATGGGATGCTGGGAATCGAACCCGGGTCAGCTGCGTGCAAGGCAAACACTCTACCCACTGTGCTATCTTTCCAGCCCTTCCTGCCCAATTCTTGATTTTTAACCCCAGAAAAAACCATTCCTCAGTTTGGGAAACACTTTTTCTTTGGAACTATAAAGAAAAAACTGGGGATTTTAATACAAATGCAGCAGTTTTTTTTTTTCTGGGGATGCTACAAGTTTATTTGCAAGCACCAGTTGAAGGGGTATCCAAGGTCGAAAATCTTTTGGAATGGAGTTTGGAAATTTTACGGTGGACTTTGTGAATTCGAGAAGGTCAGTATTATGTTTGTGAAACACTAATACTAGCAGACATTTGAGGTCCAGGTTGCAACAATAGCGTGGGAATGATGATTATCTTGCATTCGATGTTCTTTGCAAATAACATTCTGATTTCTAAATTGCAATTTGTTTCCACAGCCAGAAAGCCTCTTCACTACCTCCTATTGTCGGATCCAGAAAGTCTAAAGGGAGCGTAAGTATCAGATGCTTTACTCATTAGTGTTCTATATTTCTGAACGATCCGGAGTGGCTGTCCTCTGGGTTTCAATTAAACTCGAAGAAATAAAACAGCCGCCTTGTGGTGTAGATGGCAATTATGTGAAACAGCTCTAGAACACAAATGGTCACAATTAAGGTTCTAAAAGAATGCTAAATTTTAAAAAACAGATTTCACAATACCCATCTTTTCCTTTGGAAGCCTGATCTACTCATAGCCCAGTTAAAATCTAGACAGTGGTACACACAGCAGAAAATAAAGTGCTAAAATAAAGTTGCTAAGAAGAGGAATAAAACAAGCTGTTCAACACCTTTAAATGTTCTTCTAGATACCGACTGAAAATAAAGTGTTGTGCCAGGTCAAGCCATTCATCTCTCCAGTTCTGTTATTTATGAAGAGTACTGAAAAAGAGATCTTAAATTTTTTTTGTTAGAAAACAATCATTTCCAATGATATTTCTTTAAAAAGATATAAGGCCAGAGAGATAGTACAGTGGGTAAGGTGCTTCGCTTGCATGCAGCGGGCCCGGGTTCGATCCTGGCATCCTGAGTGATTCCTGAGTGCAGAGCCAGGAGTAGGCCCTGAGCACCTCCAGGTGTGGCCCCCAAACAACAAACAAAAAAGCAAAATAAAAGATTGTAAATTATTCCCAAGGATTGTTTCTTGTCAGACTATTTCCGACCCGTCATTCTCTGTTAATTTAGCGAATGTCCAGTAAGTGCCCCTTCCATGAGGACTGAACCTCTCCTGTAGATAATTTCTGAAACCGTCTTGATTTTCCTCGGTATCCGCACCGGGAGGAGGCAGTCCATGCCATGCTGGATTCTTTCTTTGGTAGCGTTTTCTGGTGAGAAAAGACTTTCTTTTCTCTTCTTTTCACTGAATTGCCTGACTGGTAGTGATTGGAATTGTTTTGACCGGTTCTCTACTTCTCCATTATTTGAGCAATAGGTAAAAGGTAAAGGTAAAGGCCCTCCCGTTGATGGTCGATTTGCTCGAGTGGGCCCAGTAACGTCTCCATTGGAGACTTTGTTGTTACTGTGTCTGGCATATCGAATACTCTCAGTAGCTTGCCGGGCTCTCCGAGAGGGGCGGAGGAATCGAACTCGGGTCGGCCATGTTGGCCACTTGTAAGGCGAACGCCCTACCGCTGTGCTATCCCTCCAGCCCCAATGTGAGCAATATTGTTATTTATTTATCTTTTTTTCATTTTGGGTCACAGCCGGCATTGCACAGGGGTTACTTACTCCTGGCTTAGCACTCAGAATTACTCCTGGCGGTGCTGGGGGACCATATGGGATGCTGGGAATCGAACTCGGGTCGGCCACGTGCAAGGCAAGTGCCCTACCTGCTGTGCTATCACTCCAGCCCCAATATTGTTATTTTTGTTATTTTGTTGGAGAACAAAAAGTGTTGGAGTGGCGGGGCCATCCTCTCCTAATGTGGATTTAAACCTCTCTTCCCTCCTTTGTGGTCCTACCTTGTGAACTTCTTGAAACAATCATTTACAAAGAACTAGAGCTGAACTCAGTGTCATGACATGCTCACCCATTGATGAGGCTTTTGTCCTCATTATGGCGTGTAACTCTGGCCCTTGAGCTTCGTGCCATTGAAATGACCTTGAGAACAGGGCTTGGCAAGGTCATGGCTGAGCCAACCCTTCCATCCACAATGCTGTTGGTTGGGGGATGGGTGTGGGGGAGACAAAAGCACATGGAGGGAGTTCAGTTGAATTTAACTTGAAGTTGACGATTCCATGGGAAATGGTGGGGTGGGAAGGGTGTCCTTCAGAAAAGAAGTGTGAGGCCAGACTCCCAGACACGTGCTTGTTGATGCAGTTACTGCTAACTGATGCTGAATGAACCCTCCAGATCTCATGTCATACCCAGGGCTTTGGAGCTGTGGTTTCTTTAATGGCACACAAAGAATAATGGCATATAAACAGTGGCACACACTCACCCACAAGGTGGGTGCCATTATTCTCCACAATTAACAATTCACTTTTTATTTGGGGGAGGGTTTACTTGATGGTGTTCAGGGCCTACCTCTAGCTCTGTGCTCAGGGTCTATCCAGTGAACAAGTGGCAGGTGACTTAAGCCTGCACTTTCTCTCAAGTCTAGTCCTTGTGTTTTAATTTTACTTTTTTGGGGGGTGGGGGTGAGGGTTATTCCCGATGATGATTACAGGTTACTCCTGGCTCTGCACTCGGAAATTACTCCTGGTGGTGCTCAGGGGACCATATGGGATGCTAGGGATTGAATCTGGGTTGACCGCATGCAAGGCAAACACCTTACCAGCTGTACTATCTCCCTAGACCCTAGTACCTGCATTTTAAAAGGAGAAAAGGGGGAAAAGACAGAGTGGCATCAGATCCTAAGGCTCTTCTTGAACAAATTTACAGGAAACGAGGACTTAGATGCTTCCCTAGACCTCCAGTTTGGCGACAATAAAAATAACCGCCCCCCGCCTCCCCCTGTTTCATTTCAAACTGAAGGCAAAGGTCTCCTTACTCAGTGGTCAGTTCATCCAGTGTCCTATGCTTATTGTAGGCTTATGATGACAAGGGGCCAGTATTACTGCATAAATCATTGTTTGTAGAAGAGAATTTCATGACTCCATTTTTTCCTAATAGCTGTATAGTATTCTGTCAGTCGATGTAGCATGGAGAAGACAGTTGGGGTAGAGAAGGGACCACTATGACAAAGATAGTTGGGAATGATCACTCTGGATAAGAATCGCGTGCTGAAAAGAGGTAAAGAAACAAACATGATAATCTCTCAGTACCCATATTGCAAACCGTAACGCCCAAAAACAGAGAGAGAGGGAGAGACAGAGAGAGAGATAAAGAGAGAGAAAGAAAGAGAGAAACAGAGAGATAGATACAGACAGACAGAGAGACAGAGAGAGACAGAGAGAGAGAGAAAGAGAATGATGGAGGGAGGGAGGAAGGGTGAAGGAAAGAAAGTGCCTGCCATAGGAGACAGGCTGGAGATGGGTAGTGGGAGGGAAACTAGGGACAGTTGGTGGTGGGAAATGGACACTGGTGGAGGGATGGGTGTTGGAACATTGTATGACTAAAACTCGATCATGAACAGCTTTGTAACTGTATATATCATAGTGATTCAATTAAAAAAATGAAATAAAAATGTCAGAGAACAGAGGAAAAACCATTGTTCAGAAGAGACAGGGAAGGTGAAGAAAACATCATGAAAAATATGTATTTGCCACAGTAAAGCCAAACCTAACCCGTGAGCTTGGGGTTTAGAAATCTCATCCTCTGCTTCCTCAGGGCTTTGGAGCAGAATCGCTTCCGTGGGCCACACAGATTAATGCTCGCAGTGGGGCTGGAAGGACAGTTCCACAGAGCCCCACGTTGCTGACTGCCTGACCCTAGGTCACAGGGAATGCTGATGTCACAGCCAGGATCAACACACGATTCCTTGCTTTCTCAGTGACTGGACTTTGGTATTACATGCTTATTACCGTCTTGACATTTGTCAAGCCCATTTATTTATTGCTTTGGTGTTAAAAATTAGTAATGTGTTTCCTGCTTTGAAATACAGTTAGGGGCCAGAGAGATAGTACAGCGAGGAGGGCACTTGTCTTGCATGCAGCTGTCTCAGGCTCGATCCCCGACACCCCTGAACACCACCAAGAGTAATCTCCAAGTCCGGTGCCAGGAGTCCCTCCTGAGCACCACCAGCTATGGCCCCCAAACTAAGAAAAAAAAAACAATTCACATGCAGGCGGCATATGGACAATTTTTGTTCTTGCTCACTGGCCGGGGAGTTCATGGAATGACAGTCACTGTATTTCTGGCATGAAACCCCAGGCAGAATCCGATGATGGAATCCGATGGTGCTGTCTCAGGCTCTCAGGCTTCTCGGAGGGAGGGAGTCAAGCAGAAAGTCACCAGGCAGCTGGCCCGACAGCACGTGATGAAGATGAATGCGCAGGCCAGGGTGTGACATGCGGGGGCAGGCAGGGCGGACAGCAGACCGTGCACAGGGAGTGACAGGCCGAGGAAGACGCAGTTTCTGGGATTTCCAAGCTGGAAAAAACCTAGTCTCGAAATTCTAACATGGAAGGTTCCTGTGTTGCCACTTGGAAAAAATATAGTAGCAGAGATTTCCCCCTCTTTTCCAAGTTCTCCTCAAATGCCCAGCCTGCCCACCCTCCACCCACCATCGAACCTTCCTCCACCTTCTCTCCACCCACTGTCGTTCCTTCAGCACTTAACGCTGGGCACCAGTAGCTAAGCCAGTGTCTGTGAACACGTGGACTTGGGGTAGGGTCTCATACAAATTCCATTCTACATGGAGGGAAGTGTGTATGTGTGTGTATAGGAGAGAAGACAGAGGGGGAGAGAGACAGAGACAGAGAGAGAGAGACAGAGAGAGACAGAGAGAGGCAGAGAGAGATGCAGCGACAGAGAGAGATACAGAAACAGAGAGACAGATACAGAAACAAAGACAAAGGCAGAGACATGGGGTGACGGAGATCGTGGTTGGTAGATGGATTCTCTTCCGTACACAGGAACGCTTTCTGAGAAATGTCTCATCAGGCTGTTATGCTTCCAGAATATCGGCACTGGTGGTTCATCCCACTGCATATCCCGACCTCACAGAGACCAGCTGTGGTAAACCCGGTCACCGGTGACTGGGGTGTCACTGTGTGGTACATGGATGTGTACCCAACTCCAGTTTGCTTCAGGAGCCACGAACATGTGTCAGGGTACTGACTGATACCAACTTCTCTGCAGCCGAGACCTTGATGATGTCAGTTGGGGGTGGGGGGGGCAATGTAGGGAGGGGCAGGGGAGAAAAGGACCCCAGGGACCCAAGGAAGCTCCCCCAGAGATCCTGGTCGAGAGGTTGGCATGTGACTTGGGCAGCTGGAGGGCAGAGGGCCGGAGTAATAGCATAGCGGGTAGGGTGTTTGCCTTGCACGTGGCCGACCTGAGTTCGATTCCTCT